CAGGAGTCTCTCCCAGATCGACGGAAGGGAACGGACTGACCAGCTCTCCGGTCCTCCGGAAGAATCCATCCAGAGAAGGCTCTTCCTCTCCTCGCTCTCAGCCGCGCTCGCCTCTCTGCAAAAGCCCCACTCAGGTACGGATCGATAGGAAATCATCTCAACATTCCCATATAATAGGGTCTGAAACGGACCACTGATGCGTTTAACTATGTCCTTTTCATGCCATTTAAATGTTTCGGAAAATTATAGCTTATCAGAAATATCTAGGGCCCCTATTATATCACAGAAACCAGTCATGAAAAATGTGGAAAGTCATGGAATTTGTCAAAATTTGGATAACCAGATCAAAAGTAGGGCTGTACACTTAATCAAATCACAATATGGCTAGAGTCTGTGATATTAAACTGCAAAAGACTGCTAGTGAAATATGAAGTGGTGGCGAGAGTCTCTTTACCAGCATTTCACTGAGAAAATATCATCATATACACACAGAAACTCAAAGGCTTACACTACAACTCCCCAAAATAAAGGTTTGGTTTTCTTAAAGTGATAATTATAATACAGTTTATTATTTTTTTAAAGAAATATTACACCATTTTCATCCATGTTTTAATTTAAACAGTAAACCTCTGTTGTGCAAAGGAATTGTTCCAGTTTTTTAAAAAGATTTATTAAATTGTTGAAATTTCATCCATTTTTGAAAATAAGTCATAAAGCACAGAATCCAAAAAAATTCAAACTGACAACACAGAGTTTCTGTAGACAGACTTCACAGGGCAGTGTTATTGTTATATTTGTTTTGTAATTTTGAGTTCAATTTAATACAGTTTTAATAAACCATTAAAAACCTAATCCAGAATGAAAGGCAATCATGGAATTTCTGAAAAAAGAGACATTTTATAGGCTCGTCTTGTTGTTAAAATTTCAATAAATTATTACATTGTTAAAGATTTATGATTTCATTGATTAGACATCTTTTTGGATTATTAAAAAAATTCAAACCGTACTCCAGAAAAATTCAAACCCAAAACACAGAAATTGGGGGAAAATAACATGGAATTTTTGAAAATGTAAAACACATTTCATAGGGCCCCATTATTTTAGTAAATTATTACATTGTTAAAATATTGTTGATTCAACTAATTAGGCATTCTTTTTTCTTAATAAAATTGAATTAAAAGAGTAATCCAGAAACATTTAAACCGCACAGAATAAAACAAAATTAGGGGGGAAAATATGCATTTCATATTGCCCTGCTGTTGTTCAAATTCTATTCAATGATTACATTGTTAAATGTTTGTGTATTCAGTTGATTAGACGTCCTTTTTTTTAATTAAACCACAGAATTTTGGAAAAAATACAATGGATTTCACAGAGCCCTAGATATTGTATCTAATCATTTTTATTATTAAAATAAAACAAAACGAGAAGTTTCTGTGAACCTGGGCTTGGTTTAGTTGTTTTACTCTCTGTGCTCTCAGGAGAAAGTGAGATCTCCGTCTCCTTCAGCGTCCCATGAATCACTCTCTCCTGGCTCTCCAGCACCTCCCCGCCCTCTCTCGTCCTCCGCCCGCGGCCCGTCTCCCGCTCTCAAACACTAGGTATGTCCTGACTCATGCTTTTACCGCTTACAGTAAACGTGGGTGGCAGGGGGATGTGATTTCATCTCTCGCTCGCCTCCAAATGGTTTTTCCAATTCCTGCAATTCATTTACAGTGACGAATGCTTATACATCTTGACGTCTGGTTTTCCTCACAGGACCCACTCCAGCCCATGGAGTGAGACTAGTGAAAGACCGCCGCTACCCCTCCCCAGCCCGCCCTTCCCAGAATGCACGGGGCC